TTTTTGCTAGTCAGAGAGTTGAGGGTTTGTTGAAGTGGGGCGCCCTCTCTGACGAGAGGACAGGTCTGTCGTTTACTATTGCTGCTGGTCCTCACCAGAGCAGTCATTCTCGGGTTCGAGTCCCGCAGGACTCATGACTATATTTTACTGTCTCAGATTCGAGATTCCCCTAACCTGGAGGAAGAGGGTGGCCCAGTTGTAGCTCTAGGCACTGGGTTCTCTTTTTATCGCCTCCTACGACTCGGAGGGCTGCGGTGGAGGTTCTCGAATCCGCCTCCACGCGGGGATTGAGGCTCAAATTCAAAGTTACTTTACAACTGGCGGTTTACCGCAAATCAGTTCGTCTTGGCGCCAAGCCCTCGAGACTGGCGGCCAGAGATTTCTTTCAACTAAATTCTTGCGGTCATAGTCCTTACGTAAGGTCTTCTCTGACGAGAAGGTGGAATTGTCTGTTATGAATAGGCTTCGCATCTTTCAAGTGTACGTATCGCAGATATAGCAGGCTACTGAAAAATCTTCTTTCTGCATTATATACAAGCCCTCTCTCAGTGAAGACTTTGCAGATCAGATCACGCCTACTTTTCATATCTTCTACTACAACGGTTGTAAGCTTGTTAAGTGATCCTGATTATAAAATCTCGGCACGGACCGAGTAGAAAACGTCTTTTCCATTACTGCTGTATTCTCTTGTTGCCGTGAAAACATGCTTGCTTAAAGAGCCGTTACTTAGCAATGGCTGTTTTATAGTTGCTTATTTCGTGGTCGCTTGCCTAGCAACGGGTCTACGTGCTACAATATGATTTGAACGCATTTTGTCTTCAAAGGGTTAAATCAAAACCTGCTTTGCCACAAAAATACAAATATTTCGGAACTTGAGAATTAGAAATGAAGACGAAAGGAGGAGACCTCGTGAGGAGCCGCAAGATGGCGTACTCCAATATCCATTTTGTTCTACACTTGGTTCCATGGAGTGGGGGTAGCTCAGTCGATATAGAGACTGGCTCCATGGAGTGGGGATAGCTCAGTCGGTATAGAGAGTGGCTCCAGGGAGTGGGGATAGCTCAGTCGGTATAGAGACTGGCTCCATGGAGTGGGGATAGCTCAATCGGTATAGAGACTGGCTCCACAGAGTGGGGATAGCTCAGTCGGTATAGAGACTGGCTCCATGGAGTGGGGATAGCTCAGTCGGTATAGAGACTGGCTCCATGGAGTGGGGATAGCTCAGTCGGTATAGAGACTGGCTCCATGGAGTGGGGATAGCTCAGTCGGTATAGAGACTGGCTCCATGGAGTGGGGATAGCTCAGTCGGTATAGAGACTGGCTCCATGGAGTGGGGATAGCTCAGTCGGTATAGAGACTGGCTCCATGGAGTGGGGATAGCTCAGTCGGTATAGAGACTGGCTCCATGGAGTGGGGATAGCTCAGTCGGTATAGAGACTGGCTCCATGGAGTGGGGATAGCTCAGTCGGTATAGAGACTGGCTCCATGGAGTGGGGATAGCTCAGTCGGTATAGAGACTGGCTCCATGGAGTGGGGATAGCTCAGTCGGTATAGAGACTGGCTCCATGGAGTGGGGATAGCTCAGTCGGTATAGAGACTGGCTCCATGGAGTGGGGATAGCTCAGTCGGTATAGAGACTGGCTCCATGGAGTGGGGATAGCTCAGTCGGTATAGAGACTGGCTCCATGGAGTGGGGATAGCTCAGTCGGTATAGAGACTGGCTCCATGGAGTGGGGATAGCTCAGTCGGTATAGAGACTGGCTCCATGGAGTGGGGATAGCTCAGTCGGTATAGAGACTGGCTCCATGGAGTGGGGATAGCTCAGTCGGTATAGAGACTGGCTCCATGGAGTGGGGATAGCTCAGTCGGTATAGAGACTGGCTCCATAGAGTGGGGATAGCTCAGTCGGTATAGAGACTGGCTCCATGGAGTGGGGATAGCTCAGTCGGTATAGAGACTGGCTCCACAGAGTGGGGATAGCTCAGTCGGTATAGAGACTGGCTCAATGGAGTGGGGATAGCTCAGTCGGTATAGAGACTGGCTCAAGAACCTCAAAGCCGGATTTGCGGCCCACCAAGCCAGAACTAATGTGATGGGGGCGTCAAGATAACCAATCCTACCTGCATCCAGTGCAGAGTTTCAAATTGAGAGGAGCCACGCCTTCACTCTTCCCATACGTCTGCATGGAGTTCGGCTTAACTCTAAACATTACCTACTTCTTGTGTAGCACGACGGACCAGTGTGGTCCAAGAACTCCTATTGGCCGAGTTTCGGAATCTGTATATAGATATTTGGTAGGACTCCTTGGGTGGGCGATCGGCCCGTCGCAAGGCATCTACCTACAAAGTAGCTAACTCCATTGAGTTGAGTACTTTTTGAGAAGAAGGCAATCGAACAGTTACTTAGGTCCCTATCCTGAGCAAGATCAATCCAGTCTATAACACCCCAGCCTATCTTTCTAAGATTCATTTTAAAATTATCTTCGTACCTACGTCTATGTCTTCCCAGTGGTCTCTTTCCTTCTGGATAGCTAACTCAATTTAAACATATTCCTCCTCTCTTTTTGCGCTTTACATGCCATGCTCATCCAGATGAAGCCATTGGATTTTTCAATTGACTTACTTCTAACAGAATAGGGTACCGGGAGTCTTTCTCGGGGTAAAGGGCGGCCGACCGGTGCGTAAGGTTGACAATCTCACCGCCATGTGTGAGCTGACTGTCTAGAGAATGAGTGAACCTCGACGTCTCACAACTCCATGAGCCTTCACTGCCTGTTATAAGGATAGCTTTGCCTTTTTCAATACCGAATGTATGACGCTCAAAATGCACGCACACAAAAGGGGCACTTCTCCGTCTCACCCAGAGCGGTCGAAAATCAAACGGGCTGTGATTTATGTTCTCTTTGTATGTAAATTCTTGCATAAAAATACTTTTAAATCTCTCCTTTGAAGTATTTTCTTGTTATTGATGTAAAGTTCTCCTTTCTTAATGAGACAATAACAAGAACAGACTGGATTTGAGGTCTTTAAAACGGTGGCTATGAAGAGTACGCTCTTATGGGTTGAAATGCCACGGTACAAGTCCACCGACGTTTCGGAGAAATGTATAGCCTCCATCTTCATGGTAGAAGAGTAAATCAGGCAAGAAACCAGCAGAAGCAGATGACAAGCTCATCTTAGTTTGCCGTGTGTTACTGCTGCCATTTCTGTAAGTGCCCTGTGGATTAACTTACGAAATATTTGAGGGTTTCCATGAAAACTATGCCTTCGACTACGAGACCTAGGGTCCTCACAGTGCTTACTATGAAAAGTACCATAATCCCGGACGTGAAGCTGTCTAGTCTGGTATAATTTTTCCGAGTTTTCGGAGGCAGGCGCTGTATCGCTGTATGCATCATCTGGATTGAAACGTAAGCTATGAAATTCTATCTCCAGTACATTAACATCCAGCCAAATGAGATATCCGAAACGGCAAACAACGCATTTGTATAATACCTTGAAACGTCGCTAATCCGGTTACAGTAGGTTCGGATCGAAGTTTGAAAATTTTAAAATGCTCTTCACAGTTGAGTACATACTTTAGAAGGCAGATGAGTCACTTGTGTGTTGAGACAAAACTTGACAGTCTCTTCAAACCTACATTATTACTTTCAAAAAAAAAAAAGTACAGCTTCTGAGTGTTCTATCGCTGAATAAATGTACTGTCTTTTTATTACAGATTTTAAATAAAGGCTCTACAGTGACATTTCCTTTTTGTATTTATTTTCAGCATCACTACTTCTACCATTAAACTTTACATTTATTTGTGTTCTTAGTTGTTTTGTCTTTTAGAGCTATCATTTACTCTACTAATCCGGATTATCGCCTAATCCTGATGATTTTCCCCACCAATTTATTCTGGATTAGCGAAGGCTTACTGTACTCACCTACCAGGCTATAAGGTGTCTTCACAATACGAACATGCAGTACTGTCCTCTGCATTTACAGCGCTTTGTTTAAACAACAGACAGTAATGTTGTGTACGCGAAAGTCGTGCATTATTTTCATGTCAGGCCAAGAAAGCATTTGTCGTTCTTGTTAGAGTACATAAATGCATCGTAAAAGATAAAAAAAGGTAAAGTTATCCCTGTGACAGGCCCTGGATATCCCATAGGGTTGTGAGACGTCGAGGCTCCCACATTTTCTAGAGAATCGGCTTACAGATGGCTGTAAGATTGTCAGACTTACGCGCCAGCCGCCCTTTACCCCAGGAAGATTCCTGGTACTTATTTCTGTTAGAGGCTGAGTGACATAGTGCGGTTGGAAGGATTAGGTCAATTGAAAAATCCAATTTCCCTCATCGGGAATCGAATCTGCTACCTTCCGACTTGTAGTATAGTGCCTCAACAAACTACGCTACCGCATGCCCCCAAAATACATCGCAGTAGTATTGAAATGGCTTGTTAAGAAATAGATCGTGAGGCCATGAAGTGGATTAAACTGGACTAGGATAGGGTATAATACCGGCCTGTTGTAAACCTTGGGGTTTATATCTTCTGTGACATAACGCTGTGTAGTCCGTTGAAAGTCAACCGACGCTTCGAAGAAACATATCACCCCCATCTTCAGGGTCTAATAAGCCGAACAAGACACCAGCGTGAAAGCAGGTTCCAAGCCAAGGAAAATGGAAGTAATATGTTCCTCCGAAACATCGGCTCACTTTCAGTGGACTACACCGCATTATATCCCTGAAGTACTCTTAGCAACTCATGGCGTCAGTAAGTTCATTGGTTATTTGGTTCTTAAGTAGGAAAGGAAAACTTTTACATTCTCAGGTATGCTTCGGCACATTTTTCTCACTTTCACCTCTGACGTCACCGTACATGGAATGCTTAAAGTTCAATACGAAATTGCCCGTCGTATGTAACATAATTTGCTAATAGATGGCGGATAACAATATTATGACGTAATGAGATCTATTCCCAACAGATGGCGAAAATTTATATCCCTAATTTCCTACAGATGGCAGTAGTTCCAAGTCAACGTTGAGTGTGACTGATGAGTTGAAGTTCCTACTAGCAGATGGCGCGCTTGCTGTTGCCAACTCTAATCACACCATCGAGTTACCGCCATGGTTTGATTGGGACAAGTTTCGGAGGTAAGTCCTATATGAGTATAAACCGTAGCCTTCTGCATGCATTGCATTAATGGCAATACATACACTGACCTTCTCCATGCCGTATTTCATTGTATTATTTTGTTACTTCATCACCATTGTGAAGCGTCCTGTATTAGATGCCAAAAATATTTCCTTTATTGATACTGTCGGGTAGAGGCCTGATGCTCACTTTCGTGGACGAAATACTTGGAAAGAGTTACAACTGAACAATAAATGTGTCATCCACTTGAATCACTGAAAGGGCCTCTTGACTGATAAGATGCTGCCTATTCACAAAAACTGCAAAGCAAAGTTATTAGTAGCTAAACACGAAAAGATTATTTCAACCGACCTGTATGTTAAAGGTAAATAGAGAAAAGGTAAAGCTATCCCTGTAACAAGCCGTGGAGGCAGTAGGTTGAGAGACGCCGAGGCTCCCATATTTTCTAGACAGTCGGCTCACAGATGGCGGTGTTATTGTCAGCCTTTTGAACACAATTACAGTAAGCTCTTGCTAATCTGGATTAATTAGGGGGAGGTCATCTGGATTAACTGACCAGTGATAGACCAAAAAAAAGAACTTAGAAAACAAACTAATGCAAATTTTAATTATGTAGGTAGTGTTGATGAATGTAATTAAAAAAATCACTGCAACAATTTCTTCCTCTGTCAGAAGCTGAAATCCAGGGTCTCCTTCATCCAAATCGAGCGCTTTTCGGGTACTTTCTCGCGTGGTTTCAATCTCTCCAGCTGCCCTCAACTCAGTCTAGAAGTCCTCTTGCTCCTAAACCTCACGTGTCTTTTCAAATACGTACTCAACTGTGAACAGAATTTTTCATTCTTCATATTTCGAACCGGAATATCAGACATCCGCATATGAGACTTCCACGGACTACTCTATACACCTGAGAAATTTGTTTTTTGCCGTTGACGGTGCTGAATTGAGTAACAAGTTGGTGTCGTACAGGACGGATCATAAAGTGTCTGTTATCAAAGCAAAAGTCTGCTGTTAATGTAACCATCCAAGTGTAAGTGAGCTTCATCGGAGAACGAGGTGACACTAGAGACACCCGGATTTCCCTCCAGTAGCGCTCCGAGCTCCCTCGCAAAAGCGTAACCTATCGCTCCGCTGCGTTCTACACGGAAACGACGTCAAGCCATGATGACAGATCTCCCGTCTGTTATGCTTAACGTCTAGCAGTTTCTCCTGGACTTCCTATTATACCGTCCCGTGTTACACCGACAGTTCTTTCCGTACGAACAAATGCACTGCGTTTACGTCCCTCCGCGTGTTAGCACGCACGCACACACACACACACACACTTCATGTTTCTTTATACTGTGGCACGTAGACCAGTTTCTAGGCAGCGACCACGAAATATGCAGCCTATACACTGGCCGTTGTTAGCCATCGGCTCTGTAAAAACGGACGTTGCTAGGAAATGGTCACAACAGATTCGTAACAAGCAACAATAGAGTAATTTGAAACGGTGTTCTCTACGAGGCCTTTGCGATAGCTGCGTGACACAACAGTAGAACTGTAGAGAGAGGTATTTTCTGTGCAATCCGTGCCAAGGTGTTATAAAGCAGGACAAGTCTAACGTTTAGTGAGTTGTTAGACAGTCGTCAGCCAGTAAGGACGTGAACACTGAAGCTACGGCGTTCGAAGCCGTTACTAGGCGACAGGCGGTGAAGGTACAGCAGACTGAGAAGGCTTAATGTGTGCTGTATTGAACTGCAGTGTGTGTCAATTAGCGATAGCGCTATAGTTACTTGTAGTTACGTTCTGTAAGTGTTCAGTACTTCCAATTACAAATCCAAACCCCGTCTATAATCACTCATACACCTGACAATACTGTCTAACAGGCCGGTAGAGTGTATCTCTCGACAGAACGTCAGGCATGCAGAACTCTCGGGTATACTGCCTATCCACAGTAACACAAGAATTACTAGAAGAGTAAAGGATGTTGATAACAAATTTCACAAGCGTGTAGAACGACGAGTGAAGGTTTGATACGGTTGCGATGGCAATTTGAATGGGTCAGATAATAAATGAAACCATTAAATGAGAGACTGATGAGTGAGTTCTCACGTACATCTCTCTCCGAATCGTCTGCAGACTTTCGACGGACCACGCGTCGTTATATTGCAGAGGACAGAACTCTTCACAACCACCGCTGCGATAACCTAAACTCCAACAACCAGAGAATGATTTACGCGTGTTCAGATCTAGGGGGCCGTGGAGTCAAGCAGTGAGGAGTCCTGTGGCCAAAATGGCGGTGTGACAGTTACGTTCTTCGTGATAAATACGACTCAATTAATCCAGGACTTTTCAAAATTTACGATACCGCAATCCCATAAAGCAATAATTGCATTTATATAATCCCCCACTCTCCAGTCCCTGCCGATCGCCGAGACATGTACTTCTGCGCACTGTTGCAGGTCCCTGTCAGGCTGTACGGTGACAGCAGGAACCTAAATAGCTTTACAGCCTCTGTACACCTACAGTAAGCTATAAAATGTTCCTCTGCAGTCACGGAAAGTTCAGTTCTACACACTGTTGCAGGTCCCTATCAGTCTGTACGGTGACAGCAGGAACCTAAATAGCTTTACAGTCTCTCTACACTTACATAAGATCGGGGGCACGCATAGTGTAGTTGGCTGAGGCACTATACTACAAACCGGGAGGTCGCAGGTTCCGTTCCCGATGAGGTCAGTGGATTTTTAAATTTACGTAAAACTTCCAACCGCACTATGGTCCTGGATCGACTCAGCCTCTAGCAGATATGAGTACCAGGAATCTTCCGGGGGGTAAATGGCGGACGGCGCGTGAGGCCGACAACCTTACTGCCATCTGTGAGCCGAATGTTGGAACCTCAACGTCTCACAACCTTATGGGCCTCCACGGTCTTTTAACAGGGATAGCTTTACTTACTTTAACCTATATTGAATCTTATTGACTTAATTAACTCGCAGAACTATGCATGGGTACATCTGTGTTTTAAACAATTGCTCAGGTGTCTGGTATAGAGGGTCGCGACCTCCAGGAGAGGGGTTGGGGTCACCGCACGCAGTTTCAGAAGTGATTAACCGCAAATGACCGAACAACTGCAGTACGGCAGAATTTGTTGCTTTGTTTTTTCTTTCATCCCTCCCTCCCTCTTACGAAGCAATAACCCGTTCGTTGCGTCACATTACCAGGGGCCAGCAGTACTTCCACAACAACTACTTCGCGCTGTTTGTTGCCAAGCTGTGCGGGTTGCTCACCATCCTGGCGATTCCCAGCATTCAGCGCGTGCTCAGGCTCACTCGCCAGTCCAGCGAGCCTCTGACAGCGTTCAGGCGCTATGTGGCAACCCTCACACATATGCTTGAGTGGTACGAAGGTGATCTACTGGAGCCTACGTCCAGGTAGGCCGACACTCGTCTGTAACGTTCAACATGTCAGCTTTGTACATCTTCAAAACGTGGTACCGATGGATCTGATTCAACATTTTTACGTTTAAGACCAGGTTCCATTTTAACGCAATTTCACAACGCTACTGAGGTAAAGGTAAAGTTGTCTCTGTGCTTAACCACTAGGCCATGAAAGCGTATGAGGGACTGGATGTGTAGATCCACATTTTCCTGACCTCAGAACTATTTGGAGGTGAGTGGTCATCTTCATGCACTTGTCGCTTCACCCCCGGAGAAGAAGCCCCCGGTACCCATAGGGTATGAGGTTGGGTGGACCCAAGAGCCGGTCTGGACGACGCGGAGAAGAGAAAATTCTTGGCCCTACCAGGACTCGAACTCTGACCCCTTGGTCGTCCAGCTTGTAGCCAGTCGCTATACCGACTGCGCTATCCCGGCTCCTACTCTGCTGAAGTCATATTAAATTCACAGCTACCTTCCGTATCTGAAAGCCGTCTCCTCGATGTCTTCGCCAAGGACGAACTTGGCAGGGCATGTAGCAAGCATGGGGAGAAGAAGAATGCATACAGGATATTGGTGGGAAAGCCAGAAGGAAAGAGACCACTAGCAAGACATATATGTAGGTAGGAGGACAATACAATAAAACCTCGCTAACCCGGATTAATGAAGCAAAACATAGCCCTTAAAGAAAAGAATCTTAGCAATTTCTTCCTCTGTAAGAATATGAAATCCGGGCTCTCCTTCATCCAGCTCGAGCCAGTCTTTTTTTTTTCTTGAGTAGTTTCAGTCTCTCCAGCTGTCCTGAACACAGTCAGAAATTCCTCTTACTCTAATCCCTTTTGCTTCTAAATGCCAAAGTATGTACTCAACTGTGAACAGAACTGTTAACTTTTCCTACTTCGATCCGGATTATCCAGCATTAGGATTAATTGTAACCGGATTAGCAAAGGTTAACTGTATTAAGACGAATTTTAGAGAGATGGGATGGGGTGGTGTGGACTGGACTGATCTGGCTCAGGATAGGGACCAGTTGAGGGCTCTCGTGAACACGATAAACACCTTCGGGTTCTATAAAATTTTTGGAAATTCTTGAGGAGCTACGCAACTAGCGGCTTCTCAAGAAGGGCTCAGCTCCATGAAGTTAGTTCCATTTAACATCCATAATCATTTGTACAAGGAAACATCACATAGAGCATGGCCCAATCGTTTGATCTTAAGATCGTTCACAACTCTGCTGATGGCATATTGAAATTCCGTCTCTCTCTCTCTCTCTCTCTGTACTCATGAAAGAGACCGATAACCGTTGAATGGATTTCAATAACATGTGATGTTAGAGAATTCTACTAAAATACATTAGTGCGTTCCAGTTTTGATTAAACGGGGACATAAATTATGGACACTTTATGTGACGACATGCGTGAATTTGTCCTCGTATCTCGAGATCAAATCGTTGCATATTTATCGAAGCGAGAAGAGTTTTGAGCAAAGGTTGTGGGGGAAAACGGCGCACTCATTGTAGGTCCAATACGGATTACAAGGTACGAGTCTTTAAATAGGTCTCAAATGGATACAGAGCGAAAAATATATGATATTCACACATGGAAAAAGTTTATTTCTCGACATATCCCCCACCAACATCGTTACATATGTCCCATCGTTTTACCGGTGCGTCGAAACCCGCAGCATAGAAGTCTTTTGACTGTTGTCTCAGCCACTTTCGCACTTCCATTTCATCATCTGCGACTTTCGAACGTACTTGAGAGAATTTCTCGATCCAGCTGTGAACCGATTTACACGAAAAACTCTTCCCACCGTAAACAGAAAAAAAAAAAACTTTATGAATATCTTTGCACTGAGTTCCCTTGTCCACAAAAATCGAACAATAGAACGTCGACCTTCGGTAGGATACTCCTCAATTACGGTCGCCATTTTGACTACTAAAACCAGTCTCTCTGAACATGTGTATGCGCGTCTGCTACGTAAACTGTCACGAGGCTCGAATGTGCTGCCACCTAGTGACACACACAGAAAACGTATTACGTCCATTACAGCTGCTTTACTTCCATTTGCGATCTATTTACTGATCCTTCCTCGTAGTTAAGCAAGAGTTGTTACGCTAAGTAAAGATATTCCCGTACTTAATCATGCAATTAAGCACCAAGCCATGAAGACGTAAGGGGGAGTGGAGGTATAGCTCCATTATTCTTGACCTCGGCACTAGATGGAGGTGTGTGGTCAGCTTCACGCCCCACTTTACCTCTAGGGATGTAATCCCCGGCACCACCCTGGATAGTAGACTGGCTGATCCCCAGAGCCAGTGTGGATGCTATGGAGGACAGTCTCTTACTCTTGTCGGGAATCGAACACCGGTCGTCCATCCCATAGCCTAATCGCTATGTCGACTGAGCTGTACGAACATTTTTACTAACTTTACATATCAAGAATCATCAGCGGTCTCGCAAACACACCCGAAGATTGCCGAAGTTTCTCGTTCTGCATTTACAGGTCTACAGGTTCGATAACTGAAATGTAACTTCATACAAGAGCAGAGGCACTTCCTACAGCTTATCTGAATTAGTGCTTGAAATGAAGTCCGGTAGAAGTTCATGGGTGTTTCGGAGTAACGTACTGCTACTATCTTCGAGGTCGAAGAATAAGCGAATCAGCTAGCAAGACGAAAGAAACAACCAGAGAGAAAGAATTCAACGAGCAGGTTATCTTAAGCGGCAACTCTTCTGATTTACATTCGGGAGGTGCCCAGTTCGAAACTCGGCGGCTGCTCATCTTCATAGTTTTCCTCAGTTCGTCCATGCAAATGCAGGGATGTAAGCTAACTTGAGCCTAAACTGGTTCCCTTCACTTCCCTGCTACTTGCTCTTCATTAAGCATTGCCGTAGCCACAGCTACACAGCCTGCGTTAAGGACACTGCCGACAATAATTTGATTCTTGTCTCTTTACGTGCAAACTTAACAGCGCAGAGGACACTTAAAAAGCCAGCATGAATACGTAGAAAGAAACATTAACAGAACACTAATAAAATTAAAAAAAAAGAACAATGTAGTAGAAGTATAAGTAGTAATAATAAGATACAACCATGTTAGCTGGGTCTCTTGTCATCACGGCAGGGCGCGTCCTCAGGTTGCGGATGGAGCAGACACCCTCCAGGTATGGAGGAAGGCTATGAATATATTTAATAAGTAGTCGCGGACAGCCGACAAGGGGTGATACTACGGCTGGGGTGTTGGGCGTAGGGCTAACATTTCCTCACCGTAAAAAATAAGCTTGTTACGAAAGATCACAAGAAGCCTCTGACCTAGACGGATCCCTTGGATAAACGACCTAAGCGAAAGAAAATGGATATGAAATTTTGTACTTGGAATGTTAGAATTTTGTATAGGGCAAGTTTTCTTAGGACAGTGGCGGAATAAATTTCAAAATGTAAGTTAGATTTAGCGGGAGGTCAGATGGGACTCAGGTGGTACAGAACCAGCAGGAGACTATACATTTTCCTATGGAAAGGGGACTGAGAATCATGAATTAGGTACAGGTTTTTTCGTACATAAGAGAATCATATCAGCAGTTAAGAGGGTAGAGTTCGTTAGTGATGGGATGTCGTACATAATACTAAAATGTCGCTGGTGTGATGCCATTGTGAATGTTCATGCCCCAAAAGAAGATAAAATTGGTGATTTAAAAGAGTGGTTCTATGAAGAAATAGAACATCTACTCGTATTTCTCTAAATATCATATGAAAATTTTGTTAGGAGATTTCAATGCCAAAGTAGGTAGGGAAGAAATTTTCAAACCAACAAATAGGCATGAAAGTTTACACGAAATTAGCTATTCATAGACTGCAAGAAAGCCTACGATTCAGTTAGAAGGGAAGTGTTGTACAATATTCTGATAGAGTTTGGGGTACCCACGAAACTAGTTCGGCCGATTAAAATGTGTTTAAACGAAACGTATAGTAATGTCTGTATAGGTAAATACACGTATTTGTTTGATAAATTTCCTATCCAGAATGGTCTAAAACAAGGTGATGCTTTATCGCCACGCCTTTTCAATAATGCCATTAGGAAGGACCAGGGAAACCAGGTGGAACTTAAATTAAACGGGACACATCAGCTGTTGGTCTACGCCGATGATGTGAATCTACTGGGTGATAATGTAGATACCATAAAGAAAAACATACAGACTTTAATTGACGCAAGTAAGGAGGTTTGTCTAGAAGTAAACACAGATAAAACTAAGCATATGTTGCTGTCTCGTCACCAAAATGCAGGGCAAAATTATGACATAAAGAAAGGAAACAGATCGCTGGCTTTCCATCGCGGCGGCCTGAGTTAGATCCCGGGTTTGGTCAAGTGGAATTTGTGGTGGACAAAGTGGCGCTGGGACAGGATTTCTCCGAGTACTTCGGTTTCCCTTGCCAATCTTCATTCCACCAATTGCTCCACAATGACCCTCACCTATCATCTGGGGCTGGTACAATAGGCCAGAAGTGGCCCCAGTACAAGGGACTTAGTCCCACCCCAGTAGCAATAAAAAAAATAGGAAACAGATGTTTTGAAAATGTGGCACAGTTCAGATATTTTGGAACGAGGATAACAATTCAAAACCTGATTCAGGATGAAATTAAGAGGAGACTGAACTCGGGTAATGCTTGTTACCATTCAGTCTAGTACCTTGCGTCTGTTGTCCAAAAACATAAAAATTAGAATATACAAAATGTTCAGCTTGGTCTCTGCAGACCTCAGCTAATTCTTAGAATTATAACGTCACTCTTAGAGCCGTGTGCAGAGCGTAGGACTTAATTTCGCTATTGCAAAATAACTATTTACATCAGGGTTATTCTGCCGCTTTATGCTATGACCGAAGGGCATCTTACAGTGTTTCGTGCCCTTTTAACTTAACAAAACATCATTAAACTTCATAAAACTTAAAATATAGTTACATCATTTACCGGTTTAGCGTAACTTCATTACAGATTGCAGGCAGCCTGATAGTTCAGAATTACTCTTTCTTTATTTTGTCCATCGTCCGGTTTTCTAAAGAACATAATATTTAGGAAACTGGAACCGTTTCAGTCCTCAGGTGAGCGGGTCCCTGAGAAGAATCTCGGCAATGATTGAGGTTAGCTCTTTCCGATGGACCCAACAGAGTAAGCGTTTGCCGCTCTCGACTGAGGACGGAAACAGACCAGATTTCCGTAACGTTGTGTTCTCTAGGATACCGGAAACAGACCAGATTTCCGTAACGTTGTGTTCTCTAGGATACGGGAAACAGACCAGATTTCCGTAACGTTGTGTTCTCTAGGATACCGGAAACAGACCAGGTTTCCGTAACGCTGTGTTCTCTAGGATACCGGAAACAGACCAGATTTCCGTAACGTTGTGTTCTCTAGGATACCGGAAACAGACCAGATTTCCGTAACGTTGTGTTCTCTAGGATACCGGAAACAGACCAGATTTCCGTAACGTTGTGTTCTCCAGGATACCGGAAACACACCAGGTTTCCGTAACGTTGTGTCCTCTAGGATACCGGAAACACACCAGGTTTCCGTAACGTTGTGTTCTCTAGGATATCGGAAACAGACCATGTTTCCGTAACGTTGTGTCCTCTAGGATACCGGAAACAGACCAGATTTCCGTAACGTTGTGTTCTCTAGGATACCGGAAACAGACCAGATTTCCGTAACGTTGTGTTCTCTAGGATACCGGAAACAGACCAGATTTCCGTAACGTTGTGTCCTCTAGGATACCGGACGATAGACAGAATCGTCAGAACTCTTCAGAATGTGGCAGTTGCTTATCTGCCAATGTCTCAAGCTTCGCAAATGATTTGTTTTCTTTCAGGGCCCACATGTCCCTGCTGGGGGTCAGGGCACGCCACTGCACCGCCGCACGAAAGGCTCGCAAGGCGGGATTAGGGTCCATATCTCAGCTGGACATGGCAATGACCCAGTTCGGGTTTATGGGCTTCGGGCTGCTGGCGTCAGAGAAATTGGGGCTCATCGGATCCCCTGAAGAGCAGGAGGGCTTCGTCCACTTTTGGAGAACAGTGGGCCATCTTCTGGGGATTGAGGACAGGTAACTCGAATTACGTCACAGCATTTCCCTGGTCTCTAGTGTTTCGAGAGGACCCTGTAACGGGACTTCAGTTTCTTTACGGGTTATTTGAGCGCGCTTTCACTAGAGACTATATAGCGTCGGGGGGAAATATTGTGACGTGACGGCTGAAAGCCGGAATAGTGGAGCCAGAGCTAGACGTCCGTTGATGGGCAACGGTTAATCAAACACTAGTTTCCGTTACAACAGACAGCAACGAACGAGTCGTTACCAGGTAACAAGTTGCTAAACACAGCGTTCCTGTGACAACCGACACGATAACAGAGGAACTGTTCAACGTGGTGTCCTCTAGTCAAAGTCAAAGTCAAAGTCGCATTGCGACTGACCGTCTTCTTTCTACTTATATGAGAGTTACTGTCCTGTCCATTTGGGGCGCCCTCTCTGACGAGAGGTCGGGTCTGTCATTTGTCAGTCATAGCCTGTATTATTAAGTTCATTGTCAGTATTTACATATATTTACAAATTTAATATTAATTCCTATTTCTATGTACAATATAAACAGGGCTTCTGTCAATCCAGGCTCAGTACAGCAGACTATGCCCTATTTCTAGTAGTATTCGCTACCACAGCGGTCTAGTCACTTGAACGATCATAGGTGTCTTTTATGCGGGCCGCAGCTATGCAAGAAGTAGAGATCGGCACGGACCGCGTAGAAGACATTGTTCCTCTGTTGCGTACCATTGTTGCGGAGCCAATTATTGTTGTATCGAATTGTTGCCTAGCGGACTGTGCAGAAAGCACCATCCCTCTGTTGTTTGCGGACCGCTGCTTAGCAACGGCCTCTGTACAGTCTCCTATCTCGCGCCGTCGCATAGCAACGGGTCTATATGCCACAATAATGTAATGACGTTGAACAAGATTATTTTTACACAGTGCGCAGAAAGAGCGCTACACACTCTGTTCTCAAATATTAATAATTCTGCCGGAAAATTAATTTCCCAAGGAAAGACTTCTGTCGTCAGCTGTCTCGTCATTTTCATAAGAAATTCTTCTTTTTTTTTAAGAGCTTCTCGAAACCAAGATTTTATACTTTTTCAACAATAGAGGATATTTTGAGCCTGAGAACTCGGAGGGGGGCCCCGTTCGCTGATATTCAGACGAGACAATGGACCATGAACAGATAGCTGCAATGAACAATTAGCAATTCCTTGAATTTTGCGACACTTGTGCTCCAGAAAAATGTCGCCGCGGCTGGACTCCCATCCATCAAACACGACTCTCCCTTCCCCCCTGCTTTCCTCCACCACAAACCCACACAATATTCTGACCCCCCCTTCTCCCCGTACCTCTAACGACCGGCAACCCATTCGCATTAAAGGAACAGCACCATTCATTGTCATAGATGGAATTAAAACGTAATCTCACTTCTCGAACTCACATATCACAAGAACTAGCTAAACCTGCACATTTCAGTCTTCGGTACTGCTTCTTGGTGCAGGGATTCCGTAATGTTCTCACTGGAACGTTCACTGGCAATCAGAACATTGTAAACAGGTTCTCACAGAGGTGCTTATCTTGTGAGATGTAATGCCATGTAGTATGATGAAAGTCGACCGACGTTTCGGATGGAAATGTCACCACCATTTTCAGTCAAAGCAGGTGGCAAGCGGAGCCAGCTGGTTTCTTGCTTCGCTTTTTTTTTCGACTGTGAAGATTGAGGCGACGTGTCCCTCCGAAACGTCGGGTGACTTCCAAACGGACTGCATTGCGATACATTCCAGTCGACAACTTTTCTAAATATGCTCTCTTTAACACGCATCACTGTAAAACGATAAAAGAGCTCCTTCTTCTGTCAAAGGTTGTCCTTGATACTTGACTGCAATAAATGTTTTCTCGAAACAGTCCACGAGGATAAGATTCTAAACTCACAATATTCTTCCACTTACCTTGCGGACGAGAAAGAAAGAAAAAAAAAAGTCGCTTCATTATTCCGTTCCCAAAGACAAACTGTTTTCTGGCATATCGGGACAACACAATTTCCAGCAAGAGGCAAAAATAGGTACAATCATCAACTCAGATTTCACTTCAAAATAAAACGCAACTAAACGCTTTGAAGAATTAATCTAATGCAACGACGGATAATTAATAAAAAAGAGAGACTTAAATCATCACAGTCATCAGTAGAACCTCATCCAAAACTCTTCCTAAAGATGAATAAATTATGAACTTATCACCACCTATATCACACATAACTTCAGATCAGACCAAATTATTGTCACGATTTTGGGGTGTGACTATAGACGGGGCAAGGACTCATTGAATGGATTTATTGATCACTTATACACTCACCACTCGGAACTACAAGTAATTACAGCGCTACACAGCTGCAAACACTGAGTCTTCTCCAGCCTGCATTGTCTTCAGCAATCTTTCCATAGCAACGGCTTTAACAGTGGAGATCCTTCGGCTTCCCACGCTCAGGTCCCGTAACTACACTCTCTGACTGCCCCTCAGCAAAGTCAAAGTTACTTTACGACTGGCGGTGTACCGCCAATCAGTTTGTTTTGGCGTCAAGCATGGCTGTTGTCTCGTTGTTTGTGTCGAGGTCTTTGCCTAGCAGCGGGTCTATACACCAAAGCATCATCCACAGGCTGGACTGCACCTCCAGGATCCTTATGCACACTTCAGTATACACGCTAGAGTAAAATCTTTAGGGAGTCATGTTACTTTCTGTTTCTGCCATACATTGTTAGAGTGAATCCTACTGGCAAGAAGCCTCCAGCATTGTTAGTAGGATAGCTTGCTCCGCAGAGCAGTCGCTCGAAGCAGCTCTGCAATCAGCCGTGGAGTCAGACAAGGATAGACGTGTACACAGTTCATCCGCTGTGCAAACGAGCACACATCCCCCACATCCGTGTTTGCAGCCTAACACTTTCTTTTCCGAAAGCGATCAACAGATTTCTACTAAATTTAATTTGATCTGTATTGACCCACTGTACCCTATACAGCTTAAGTGTTGTATAAGCCATCTTCACTTCATCCCTTAACAGATTTCTAAGAAGGGATCGACGTAACAAGACTGTCACAGGAAATAAATGTTCTTAAAACCCGATTGTTATACGACCTTGCTTACGCTGCTTTTTGTACCTAACGAACTACGGCAAAATACACATATACTTTGTACAATGCACTATAATTACCACAGAATTTATGGATAAAAATGGTGTATTATTATGAATCTGTATGGGGAAAGGAAAAAGGTAAAGCTACCCCTGTAACAGGCAGTGGAGGCCCATAGGGTTGTCAGACGTCGAGACTCCCACAATTTCTAGACAATCCGCTCACAGATGGTGGTTAGGCTGTCAGCTCTTTACCCCCAGGAAGACTCCTGGTACTCATTTCTGTTAGAGGCTGAGTCGACCCCAGGGCCATAATGCGGCTGGAAGGATTAGGGCAAATAAAAATCCATTGACTTCATCGGGAATTGAACTCGCGACCTTCCGGCCTGTAGCATAGTGCCTTAACCAACTACACTACCGCGTGCCCCACTCCCTAATCTGTATGGGATGGCATTTTGGCATTCAACTTGAGATACTGAGGAACACCACGAGAGCGCCAAGAGACACTGTAACTGCTACGGAAGCAGATGTTGAGGCAGGTTTGACGACTTGTTCGCAGGTTCAACATCTGCAGGTGCAATCTGCGCGAGACGAGACAGCTGTGCCAGGCGATGCTGGAACAGGTGTTTGTGCCTGCATTACGCAAACCTTCAGAGGGATTCGACCAGATGTCGCGTTCCTTGATCCAAGGTATGTGGTCCATGGTCCCTTTCCTCGACTACGACGCCTTCTTGAGCTTCACCATGCGTCTAGCAGGCGTCGAGACAACAGAAAGCAAGAACAAATCCCCACAGTCATTTCACAGCAGAGCGCTTCTTGCGTACCAGATCTTCGTGCATGAAGTGGTGCTCAGGAATTGGTTTCTGGGTTCGATATGGAGGCCTATATTAAATTTCGGTATGTGGCTTTCAGTCTTTTTGACGCAGCGACTTCCCATATTGGCCTATATACAATATGGCAAGAGAAACGTCTATTGACTAGCACTGAAACGCGATGGCTCGCACATCAGGCGAGCCATCCGACATCACGCACCACGAGTTTATACTTATGGCGTGGTTAAGAAATACTCGAGTTCCTGAACCTTTGAGTAGTGAGGGAGATGTGCACGCCTGTGTGATACGATTTTATGATTGCAGCAGGAAGTGGAGCACGCTAGTGGTCACAGCGTCCTCCAAACTTCAGTTTCTGAACTTACCTGAGACTTTTTCCGCCAGCTAGTTTTCGGTTACAAAGGAAACACAACATTTACGAATCTCCTTAGGGCATTAGGAACAACTACGGAAGTTGCCGTGGTGAGCCCACTGGGCGGAGCTAATCTGTACACCTTCCAAGGATATGAACTCAGTACAACATAATTCATATTTTTACTTAATGACGGAAACAGAACTAGCTTACGAAATGTCCTGTCTTTTAACCAAAAAACAGAAATTGCAAAATGTCCAGTATATACAAATTGCAGTAGATCATTATAAACAGAAGGTTCTGGGAAGAACTAATTGCCTACTTTCCTTGACATGAACCGCATACAAAACAACTCTTCCAACAAATCTTATATTGTGTGTGTGTATTTGTTGCCGCGGTAATGTTTTTACTGATGCGTTGCCTAGCAATAATATGGGATACACATACAGTAACACAGGCTTATGGGAGGGATTTATGAAGCACGCCTCTGAGATGGGTTCAGGTGCCAAGTTTCATAAAGATCGGTTCAGCCATTCAAAACTAAATACAAGGGATGCACACACACAGACAGCATAGATATCGCATAAACCTACTTTAATTTATCTTTCAATATACAGAAAATGGGCTAACAAGACAGCTTACCTTTCTCCTGCTCCCTAAAAAATGAAAGGAGTTTTATGACACCTGCCATTGCTCTGCAACGGATCGGTAAACACGTTCCCTCCGCAACGAATACAAACGCAACAATAGAAGAACTGTTGGAAGTGGTGTTTTCTATGCGGTCCGTGTCGAATATAATAAGTGGAGGAACACCGCGTGAAGGCGGGTTCGAAAACTTTCACTCTACCCTTGCGAGTTACAGGAGCCGACGGAAACGAAACCCAGTGCCCTAGGTATATATAAAGTAAAGTTGTCCCTGGTTTTAATCATTTAAGCAATACGCCATGAAGATATGTGTGGGAGTGAAGGTATAGCTCCACCATTCTTGACCTCGGCACTAGACGGAGGTGAATGGTCAGCTTCACGTCCCTGCTGCCTTATCCCCGCTACCCATTGGCTAGGAGGCTGGGTGCGCTCCAGAGTCCGTCTGGACGCTGTAGGACACAGAAAAATTTTGGACTGCCGGGGAATCGAGCCCGGGTCGTCCAGCCCGTAGACCGTCGCTATAACCAATGCGCTATCCTGTTATTTACTGAAAATCATTGGTATGCTTATTATATTTATTAAGTGAATTTACAATATTTTAAGTAGTACGGCATTACAAAATACGTGAAGTTATATCATTCGCTAGAACTGTACCTGTACTCGTGTGTGTTTTGTTTATGATGTAAATGTCACTGCCGTTTAAGTCTGCAAGTTATATGATTTACGTCAGATATCAGCAGGGGCTGCAGCTTGTTTACTAACACAAAGGTGTTTATGAAACAGTTATTTACACGTGGCTGTGCAAGACGGTGCAGTATACCTACACATGGTCGGGCGAATAAGTTTCGAGTCTCGTTTTTAATTTCGCGCCGGTCGATCTGGCAACACTGCTAATTGGAATGTTCGGTGACGCAACAAGACAGAGCTCACATGGAAAGTCTGGATAAGCTGCGTTCAGTATTCGTTGAACAGTAGCTCGTTAGTTCGCTGAGTCTCGTCACTTGTCCAGACGTGAAAATGGAGCGTACGGCGGAACAGAGAGTGACTGTGCATGTTTGTGTCAAACTACAGAAACGTTAGAGATGTTAGAACCAGTTTATGGCGAGTCCCCAGGCCAAAGAAGCCACGGAAGTCAAAGAACAAGATCAAAACAGTGTTTATCTGCTTTTCCGACATCAGTGGTATCATCCACTTTGAATCTGTACCCGCAGGGACCACTGTTAATCAGACGTTCTACGTGCAGGTATTGTATTGTTGCCATCAGGCGCAAGCGAGGAGAGATGTAGAGAGATCACTCACTGAATCTTCGCTTCGAGTGTCACAGCTTTCAGCAGGAAAAGACATCTCTGCCATGGACCATCCGCCGTACTCTCCTGGCTTGGCTCCAGCTGACTTCTGGCTGCTTCCAGAACTCAAAGAGTGTGCTGAAAGCAAAGCGTTTCTCGGAAGTTGGGGACATTAAGTCATCTGTGGAAAGAAATTGGCAGAGATTCCTCTTCAGGATTTTAAAAACTGTTTTCAACGATGTCAGAAGCGCCGAGTACATTATGTTCCAACCCCCATAAGTGTGTCTTTTTAGAAGGAAACAAATGTGACGTGCATAGCGTTTGTTTAACATGCAAAAACACACTGCTGAACGTTTGTCGGTTGTTTTGGGAAACATTCACAGTCTGGACTACATAGCGTGTTAGCAAGTTATTTGAAAGGAAGCAGTTATGGCTTAGGAGAGTACTCTTCTGGTATTCGCCTGGAGTGACCGCAAAGAACCAAAGGAATCTCCGTGACTACGGCCGGTGTACGACCGAGATTCGAACCAAGCATTACTCAAATACAAGTGTAGAGTGTACCGCCATGACAGCCTGTTAAGCAAGATACACTGAACTCACTTAGTTACGTGTTTCAACGGTGTTCAGATTGTGCAGCTCCATGAGGGGTAACGAAACCGTCACAATTTGCCGTACTTAAATAAACTGTGGAAAGAAGATACTGCTGTTTCTCATGTTTCAGTGTTACGGTTCGACAGTTCATAAGGAAATATGCTTTCCTGACGTGAACTAAATTTGATTGGCTCTGGTTATTGGTTCTTGTGAAGGATTGTGAAATTTCATGGTCTTCACATGTAAAAACAGAAATTTCCTCGTTTCCTTTGAAGGCTCATTTGACTGTAAAATTGTATAATATTGGTTTCCAAATTGTGATGCATCCCTCTTTGGGGGGGGGGGATGAGCGGCTGGTAGGGGACCGCGGGATATTCTGGGAAATTTATATACAGTATGCGCCAAAGATACAATACTGAAATGAAAAGACATCCTGTTGATACCACTGTCTATTCCTGTGAAGGCCCCTTGCACGACAGAACCTTTTCAAATCCTAAAGAAATTGTCCGATCACCATGTCCCTGTAGCGTTCTTGGGTGACGGTAAGAGCATTGCCTTCCTCATCCTCAATGAAATAGGGGCCTAATATACCGTGTGCTGAGACGGCACACCATAGCGTCACACGTGTACTGTGTAGCGGTTTCTGGACGATAACATATGGCTGCTCAAAACCAAGGAAGCGAGTTGTCTGGCGACCACTTCCGTACGAGCGGAAATAATACTCAACTATGAATATTTTTTTCTTTTCCGTCGAGAGACCCATTTCCAACAACTGCACAACGCAACTTCCTTTTCACTACTGGGAACACGTGCGGCTGGAGCTATGGCCCGTCGACAAACGCACATGCGCGTTCGAGATGCGCAAGTTTCAGTGCTGCAATTTTGTAGTAAAACTAGTTGATTGTAACTTTCAAAATGTCAGAGATCGGAAGTTTAATATCGTGAATATTCAAAATCCTCACAAATATTATTAACAGATAAGAATCAAATATGTGTTAAAAATGAAAATCCAAAAATTAATTTCTTTACATTAAACACAAAGTTAAGAAGGGGGAGGGGCGTGATGACGTCTTTCCTAAGCTGGGGGGGGGGTCGCATTGTACATAAAGTATGGGAAATGCCGATCTAATGAAACAGTTTGTACCAAGCAGTTGAAATGTCTCCAGTACCAAATTTTATCCACATTCACTCAGGTAGGCGGACAGCTTTAAACAGAGACATAATTGATGAGTGACGAAAGCATGACGCGCTAATCACAGCTCTGCGCAGAATACCGAGTGCGCAGCAGGATATGACTGTTTAACAAAGTGCGTGCTCTGGTTGTGTGCACTGCACTGCCGGTCCGTCTGATACAGACACTGTATCCGGGTTTCAAAGTGCGCGCGCGCACACACACACACACACACACACACACTCTCTCTCTCTCTCTTCACACCTTCAGCGGCGCCAGTGTTGAATTAAAATGATGCAATGATGATTGTCACGCAATCAGCAAATTATTAGATTATTTATTCTAGTTGATAAGACACAAAATGAATGAATTAGCACATTTTGAGAGAAAGAAAGCACACCAAGATAACCAACGAACGGAATTAGCATGCTAGTGTGCCGGGCAAACAGGGAGAGCTTATGTTGACAAATTGCATCATGTAAAACTCCAGCCCATATCAGTCGTATACTTTACTACACTCGTTGGAAACTTCGTTTTGAGCAGGACACAACACGACAAAACATGACATGACGTGAAGTTATCTGGTACCATTCCAATTGAAACGATTAGTGGATCAAGAAATTTAAAAGGCTTTACGATGAAAATTTGAAAACGGGCAAATACTTAATTATTTGGTTGCTTAAAGGAAACTAGAAGCGGTAAGATAATAAAATGTAAGTCTGTATGATGTTACGTGACCAATACAGGGACCGCGGTCCGCGGACTGCCAGCTGGGCATCACTGTTATTATAATTCGTGTCTGTTACTGAGATTATATTTTTACTCAACCCGCCTCCAAACCATTGCTGAGGTGAAAATCATGGATCTATATATCTACTCCCTCATACGCCTTCATGGGGTAATGCTTAGTCAAGCACAGGGACAAATTTACTTTTTTATTACTTATACTGATATTTATTTCTGCGTTACTTTCTTGAGCCAGAATTTTCATGCGTCCAGGAAGACATGTCTGCGTCACAATTACGACACGTTCCTCCCAGTGGACTTCTCGTGATAACTGGACAATTGCAAACCCGTTCTCCAACCCGAGACTCCACGTTCCGTGTGTCTGTGGCGCTGTCCCTGCGCCTTGTGCCAGTTCTCGCTAAGCCACTGGGTCCATCTCCTCTAACACCTGGCACAATCTTGTGTGTCCCAGGTTACACAATTCAGCACTAACACGCTGCGGACTGTCCTACACACCTGAGATCCAATCACTGTCCAATCACTGAGATAAGCCTTGGCTACAGTACTTCCACAGTTCGGCTGCAACCACTGCCCCCTACTTCTTGCCATACTTATCCTCACGCACAACCCACAAGTTACGTGTAAGAACGCGTTCAGGGAGTACCTGTAGCTGTGTTTCTGGGGCCCGGGGGATATACACTCTCGAAGTTGTGTTGCAGTGACGAGAGAGCTGTAAACTTGCCAAAGGTGCGTTCATTTTGCACTACGTAACTCACAGGCGCTCACCTAATGCTATAGCGGACGTTGCCGAACGTAATACTCTTTAATCATAAGTAATTATTTGAAAAGCCGGGTTTGAAGCAAACTAATACATAGGCCTGTTATTATTATATGTTTGATTAAATATAAATATGTACATGGGATATTTAAGAAAATGAATTTATGATTAGCTGTAAAGTATTATTTCTGTATAATATTTACATTGCAATAATTATG